CCTGTAGTCCCAGCTACTTGGGAGGCTGAGGCAAGAGAATCGCTTAAGCCCAAGAGTTTGAGGTTGCTGTGAGCTGTGATGCCATTGCACTCTACTGAGGGCAACATAGTGAGACTCTGTCTCAAAAAAAAAAAAAAGAATTGGTTTACTTCACAGTGAATTAGGTTTTTTTCCCTCCTGATGGCATAGCAAGGATCTGCTGGGAATTGGTATTGGAAGTTGCTATTCATCTTTACTCTGCAAGAAAATTTTATTGTAACCCATGAAAGAGTATGCACAGAAGTGATAAGGTGCTTCCAAAAGGATATCAATAATTAATTGGTAGATGTTTTATTAAAAACAAAGCTGATGTTTACTGCCATGCACCCTACTGATGTACAGTAAATATTGATGACAGCGACAGGTTTTAACTATTCAAGTCACCTAAAATTACTGTGCAAGTGGATTTAAAAGTATCACATTCATAAAACCTAAGTTCTTTGGGTGTATTATTTACAACAGACAATCCTAGATCATGAATGGAGGAATAGTTTCTTCTGAAAAGCAAGAATATCCAACATTGAAAGCTTGTAGTTCCGTATTTGGACCTGTTTGAAAAAAACAAGTTCTTTGACGTTAGGAATAGGGGACTAATTTATGAAACATTTAACCAAGTCTTTTTTTTATTTTTTGTAGAGATGGTCTCTCTTTTTCATCCTCGGTAGAGTGCCATGGCGTCACACAGCTCACAGCAACCTCCAGCTCTTGGGTTTAGGTGATCCTCTTGCCTCAGCCTCCCAGTAGCTGGGACTACAGGTGCCCGCCACAACGTCTGGCTATTTTTTGGTTGCAGTTTGGCCAGGGTTGGGTTTGAACCCACCACCTGCGGTATATGGGGCTGGCGCCCTACTCACTGAGACACAGGGGCCGCCCCTTAGCCAAGTCTTTTTTAAATGAACAAAATAATAAAAGTACAAAATTATTTTTTAAACTGTCTTTATATTCTAAACAATTTTAAATATTTATGAGAAGCAATCTATGTGTAGGAATCTATTGGAGTAGGGTTCTTTTAAACATATTAAATATGTACATGTTTAGTATGTATATTTAAAATGTGTATATATTTAATTATATCTATGTCTATGTATAGAAACATGTAATTTTTTCTTGTTGGCTCCCTAGACTGCCAGTGTAGCTTTTCTACTGGTAGAAGGCTTCCATTTGTTTACATGGAAAATCCCTTTCCATTATCACAACCAAGCAGTTTCTTAGTAGAAAATCTGGATTTCTGTCTTTTATATGATTGACATGATTCATATAAAAGTTTCCTGAATGTGATAGTATTTTGGATTTTGGCATCCTTTTAGAACTTAGGTCTTTCAGAAATGTAAAGTGCTTCTTCTTTTTTTTTTTTTCTTGACACAGAGTCCCACTTTGTCACCCTTGATAGAGTGCTGTGGCATCATAGTTTATAGAAACCTCAAACCCTTGAGGCTCTAGCGATCCTCTTGCCTTGTTTTTCGTTTTTAGTAGAGACAGGGTGTCCCTTTTGCTCAGGTTGATCTCGAACTCTTGACCTCAAGCAATCCACCCACCTAAGCCTCCAAGAGTGCTCGGGTTGATTTGTGCTTTTTTGCTTGTTTCTAGCCAGTATCTGCCTTTTCTATCCAGCCTTATGAATAATAATAGCAAAATCATTTCTTGGTCATTTGTTTTTAATCCTTCTCTCCCTTCTTCCAAGCCAGGTTTTTTTTTTATTGCTGATACTGAAAATAATCAAATCCGGAATCAAAGTCTGATTCATCAACCAAAAACTCAATCTTTTTGTTTGCTTTTTTTTTTTTTTTTTGAGACAGAGTCTCACTTTGTTGCTATAGATAAACAAACTCTTAGGTTCAAGAGAGCCTCTTGCCTCAGCGTCCCAAGTAGCTGGGAGTACAGGCATACACCACAAAGCCTGGCTAATTTTTAGAGATTGGGGAGGGAGGAGGTCTTGCTCTTACTGAGGCTGGTCTCAAACTCCTGAGCTCAAGCAATTCACCTGCCTCAGCCTCCCAGAGTGTTAGGATTACAGGTGTGAGCCACTGTGACTCATCTTCATCTTGACCAAAAGCTTGGACTTTAGTTCATTAGGTGATGTTTTAAACACTATATTGAGGCCAGGTGAGGTGGCTCACACCTGTAATCCTAGTACTCTGGGAGGCTGAGGCAGGTGGATTGCCTGAGCTCATTGGTTTCAGACCAGCCTTAGCAAGAGTGAGACCCATCTCTGGGCAGGTGTTGTGATGTGCTCCTGTAGTCCCAGGTACTCGGGAAGCTAAGGCAAGAGAATCGCTTAAGCCTAAGAGTTTTAGGTTGCTGTGAGCTATGATGCCATGGGACTCTACTGAGAGTGACAAAGTGAGATGCTGTCTCAAAAAAAAGAAAAAAAAAACCACTATATTAATACACAAAGATCTTGCCTATTCTAACTTTTAGAGTCCAAGCGAAGCATTTTCTCAGTCAGTGCTTATTAACAAATATATAAAATTCTAAAGATCTTAAAATGGTTAATTGAAATATAGTATGTATACTCTTTTTTTTGTTTGTTTGTTTTTCTTTCTGAGACAGAGTCTCACTTTGTCATTGAGGGTAGAGTGCAGTGGTTTCATCATAGCTCGCTGCAATCTCAGACTCTTGGTCAAGCAATCCTCCTGCTTCAGCCTCCCAAGTAGCTGGTGCTATGGGCACACCTGGCTAATTTTTCATTTTTGTTTTTGTTGAGATGGGATCTTGCTGTTTCTCAATCTGGTCTTGAACTTGTAGCACTTCTCCTGCCTCAGCCTCCCATATGTATATTCTTGATGGCTAATACTTTTACAACTTTAAAATTTTTAAAAATTTTTTTATGACTGAGATAGTGGAGTGTGCCAATGCACAGGTAGACTAAGGAAAACATTTAGGGAATAGACCATTGAAAAGACTATATCTGAGTAGTGGAGAGAGAAAAGAAGGGGACACAGTTGAATAGAATCCTATACCTGATTCGCTTCACACAATAGTAGGGTAGTCAGAATTAGAAGCCACACCTCTGTTTTAGAGGAAGATCAGAATTTGCTTCTCTTTCTGTAAGGATGGGGGAGGGTCTCAGCTTTATCAAAGCTGAAAGAACTGAGGAGCACATGGTAGTTAGGGTTGTGGCAAAAAAATGGGCTTACCTACTTTGGACTGTTGTATTTTCCATCTAAACTGAGTGACTGGGTTAGGCACAGTGCTATATCTGTATTCGCAGCTACTCCAGAGGCATGGAGGAGAGTCCAGGAATTTGAGACAAGCCTGGCAACATAGTGAGGCTCTCTTCTCTAAAAAAAAGAAAAAAATTAAAATCTTATGTCTAAATTGAGTGACTTTAACACTATTTGTGTCTCTGATGGTAGTAAAATTGACAAGTAGGCTTGGCGCCTGTAGCTCAGCAGCTAAGGCACTGGCCAAAGCTGGCATGTTCAAACCCAGCCTGGACCTGCCAAACTACAACAAAAAAATAGCTTAGCATTGTGGTGGGCACCTGTAGTCCCAGATACTTGGGAGGCTGAGGCAAGAGAATCGCTTAAGCCCAAGAGTTTGAGGTTGCTGTGAGCTGTGACGGCACTCTACAGAGGGTGCCACAGTGATACTTTGTCTCAAAAAACCCCCCAAACTGACAGATATCTACTTGATTTTGTTTTTAAGTAAGACCAAAGGAAAACAAGGTAACTGAGGGTTTTTTCTTTTTTCTTTTTGAGACAGAGTCTCACTTTGTCACCCTTGGTAGAGTGCCAGGGTGTCACAGCTCACAGCAACTTCCAACTCTTAGGATTAGGCAATCCTCTTGCCTCAGCCTTCTGAGTGGCTGGGACTATAGGCGCCTCCACAAAGCCCAGCTATTTTTTGTTGCAGTTTGTCCAGGGCCGGGTTCAAACCCTCCACCCTTGGTATATGGGGCCGGTGCCATACCCACTGAGCCATAAGCACCGCCCATCAGTAACTGAGGTTTTAAATAATAATAAACATCAAAGTCAAAATTTGTTAAATTTCATATGGTAAATGGTAAACTTTAAAAATGTATCAGCGTGTTAGATGAGTTCATTAGATTATTCTAAATGTATTCTAGTGACTACATTTTAATAAGAACAGTTAAGGAGGAGTATTCTCTTAGTAATTTGTCATTTAAGAACAGTGTCAGGGTTGGGCCTGATCTTTATATAAAAGAAAAAGGCTGCAGTGCCTTTCTTGAGAATTTAAATTAAGTCTTGAAGTTACAATGATAAGCCGGAGCTCTGTGACCCTTGTTAATGTTCTTAATGCATCATTTTCCTCTATATAATATTACAGATAATGAGTCATTGCTCTCTTTGAATCAATGTAGACATTACCTCAATTACTTGTGAGGACCTGTTCCGGAGTCCAGGATCCCTGGCATAGTGCTGGGGCTATGGTACTAAACCCAGGAGATGTGCTATTAATAATTCTCCCAGTGGGCACACTGGGACACTTAGGGATGCTTTGTAGAGAGTGTTGAGTTGAACCTTGAACCTTGACTGTAATCTGAGCAGGGGACAGTGATGCCCATGGTCTATCCAGGGAAACATTCTGCAGTGAAATGGTAAAAGTTCACTTGATGGGATTTAGATTTTGTTTAATTTTTCTGTTCTTTAGTGTTTCTTCCTCCTTCCCCCTCCCAGTATTTTCTTTACCTATTCTAGTGATGCCTTATTTGGAACTGAGCTTAAACTACAAAAAAGAATGAAGTTGGATCTAGGAAGCTGTTAGGCTCTGAACTAATTTGTTTTTGGGTTTTTTTTGTTTTTTTGT